AGCATTTTGCGAAATCTTTTGGTTAGATTTGCTTTTAAGAAATATTATTTTAAACTGCTGGTCAGAACACCCCTGCAGTTTAATTGAATCATTCAAGACACCTCAAGAAGCAAATGCAAATGAACCAATTTCACATGATTGGGATATTTTATTAAAAGGTCACACAGTGACTGGTTCCTTAATTTCAGCTTCAGGAACAATTATTCTTTCTGGAGTTGTCTGGAAATTTTGTGTGCATTTTGATAGAGAGATAATCCAACCTATATGACAGAACTGTATGACCTTTGAAAGTTCGTATGACAGAAATGAATTTTGAAAAGCTTTGAAGTGGTAAGTTGCATGGCAGATATAAGCATCAACCTTTTCTTGTGTATTCTTAGCCATGTGTCTGGGGCCTATATATCCTGATTAAATACCCAAGTACTGATTTTCTACAGGTAATTTAACATGGAAACACCCAGTTTCATCAATACGTTGATAAAATCTATGCAACAAATTGCTGCAGTAAAATTCTAAAATGTGATTAAACTGCTCTAATTACAACCAAGGAATAGTGTTCTGCACATTCCTGGCTTTATTTTATGCCTGATGTATTAACTTATGCAATGAATTCTTGGAGCGATGCTTTAGTTTTCTATGTTCGCCTCATTTTAGAGCATAGCTTACTTAGTTCAGTGTACAATAAAACATCCACTCCAATCTGCCGTAGATATTTTTACCATTTCTACAGCAGCTTTAAGAGTTTCTTTTCAGCTTTACACCATTTAAGGTTCACTTTCTAACACAGGACTTCAAGATCATTTATGACATTGAACAAATTCAGCAAATAAAAAGTTAAACTAAGTTAATCTCACCAGTAATCTAGATTTCACCTTTTTTGGTGGTGGTTTAGAAGTGGCTGCAGCAGACTCTTGCACCACTAAAAATGCTTATTGTTGGTTCAACAGCATGCAGTGCTGGGTCCTATTTTGTTGTCTATGATTGAGATACAAATAACCTTGACAACATACTGGAGATAATAAATTTCTCTTTGTTTAGGAGCAGCTGTGTGACCAACTGGTGAGGAAGCAACAAACCAACTGAGCAAACCAGGTGAAGATGCATGGAATGTGGCGGAGGCTTGGCAGCAAAAAAATATTATTTAGAGGTCAAAGTACACACACTGCATGCACAAAAGTAAACCAGCTGTGATTTTGTTTTCCAACTGTTTACATTAACATCTTTAAGTCGAGTTGAATGGTCGGGCAGGGAGAGCAGCGATCAACCTTTCATTCAAATTGAATATCAGTGAGTCTGCTCAGAAGCCTATAACCAACCGGATGCCGTGACGCACGTCTGCGATAGCACCTGAAGCGGTTATGGAAGCAATAGACCTTTTTCATAGGAACCGGAAACACTTCCAACAAAACAGATGGAAAACATTTTGCTTGCTTGAGTCAGCTACATAAAGCGCATAAGTGACAGTAAAAAGGGTAGTGGTGCTGTCTTAACTTCTTTTCTCGGTTCTGAAGTTTTTCCCCATCATCAATGTAAGTTGTTTATCTGTGTCTAGTCAATAATTTTATAATATTTTGTTAGTTAACATTTTTTCCCACAATCCATTTGTTCATAGAATCAAATGTTGCTGTAGCAAAGTGCTGGCTGGATTACCATGAAGACTGAACACAACTTCTGGGCAGACATTGAGGAGCAAGAAATTAAATGAAATTTTATTTCACTGCACATTTCTTATATATGTGTAAAATAAAAATAAATTTGTAAAGTAACTAAAACTAAATAAAATGGTACCAAATAAAGCTATATATGAGGAAATACTAAGCCTTACCTTTCTGTACTGGTTGACGGAATGTTAAAACTTTTAATGTTGGAAATAACACACAAAAAAGAAATTTCCAGTGTACTGCTGACATGACTAAACTTGCTCACAGTCATTCCACCTCCAGCCACTCACTTCTTTCAAGGTTACCAGGGACAAAAGGGGGCCTATAAGGATTTCTTTGGGCACTATAAAAGTGGGAGACTTGTATCAAATCAGCATCTGCAAACACATCAAGAACTAGCCATTTTTTGCTGGCCCGAATATATTTTTATTATTATTATTTATTATTCTTGCTTCTACTGCTGTACAACTTTATAAAAGATATGATAGATCCTAACGCAATGCCATCTTGATAGTGGAAACGTTAAAGTACAAAACAGCACAGCAGATAAAGCAAAGTGACAAATGGCAACAAGGACAAGGCAAACAGCTTGTGCTTTTTTTGCCACACACGGATGAACAACTGCACTTTAGAAACTAGAAAAGAACAGTTTCAGCATATACCAATGCACGTCAATGATAATGTCATCTACGACTACCAACACCTGCAAGTAACGAAACAATAATTAAAAAAAGCATACTGATATAATTTGCGTATGATTTCAAGGTCACTTATTGCACCTATAATCACAGAACCATCTGAGAATTTTAAGTATTTCAGAATATTGTTGACCAACTTGCTTTTTATTCTATGAAATAAAAAAGCCAAATTAATTCAATTATGATCATAAAGACTATAATATAATATAATTTGTGTTGATTTTGAAGGTGGGAAAAAACTGGCAGAGTTAAGATAAATAAACGGGGAAACATCTCAGAGCATCAAGAAACAGGAAGGTGTGTTAGGAAGCAGAAATGTTTAGTTTGATAAGCAATGATGATCTGGTGTAAGACCTTAAAATGTCACCGTTTGGTTCTCAGGGCAAGGAACTGTCAGATATAAAATATATGACACAAGTCTGTCAAATATGACCTCAAGCCTAGAATAGGTGTGATATACAAGAACTCATTTCCATTAGTTGAAAAACTAACTTGCACGCTTTTATAGTTAGTGTAATGTATAATGATTCTACCAGCATCACAAATGGCAATTTAGATAACCAATAGTGCATTTTATCTTGATTAAACAAAAGGTCATCAGTAATGATATTATCTCCCTTTTAACAGCACAGTTTACAATAAAAAAAATTAATAAATAAATAAAAAAAAGGCTAAATGAGCTTTTGTACTAGACCAAGAATAAAATCTTCAATCAATGACCATGACCTAAAAAAACAAACAAAAAAAAACTGTGCTTTGAGAATAACGTTGTAGCAGGTCATCGCTATAATCCGGTGAATATCTTAATGGACTAATTAAAACAACTGGAGGAATTTAACCGTTTCCTCCTGCCACTATTCGCAGTGTGCCTTCGGGCAAGGCAACAGAGCAAGAATGGCTTCATTTATCAAGCATCAGCACAAGACTGGAGCAGCGCTGGCCAGCTCTCAGGTGTGAGTATATATATATATATATGCAACCCTCCTCCCCCAATACCGACCTTTGCTGTAAGTATATATGCTGTCAAACTGTCACAAAGCTGTTCATTCAAAATGTCAAACTTGAAGTTATCAAACTGCTCAGGATTCAAAGTATGTTTGAATCGCTCTCCCCCATTCCCGTTTAAAACAGCCTCTTAATGTGCCTGTATGGAGTCCCCTCTATGGACGCTGTTAGTGTTACTTATTGGTAATTTCACCTTGCCTTCACTCTACATGAAGGCAATGTATGGCTTTATCGCCCATTTTCCCATAACACTGTAACAGAGCCGATAGGGCAGAGGACACAACAAATAAAACGTTTCTACGAAGGAAGGCTAAAATAAACCTTCAAGTGAGAGACGGGGATGAACTGATCTTTCTTGAAGGAGGAAGAAAAAGCCTAAAACAAATCAATTTTTTTTTGCTTTCACGATCAGATTTTATGCATAATTTAAAAAAAGAAGAGAAAAAAATGTTTTTTTAATCTTTTTTTTTTTTCAATTTAAGAGCAGCACAAATACCAAACCCACAAAACCATTTAAAGAAGTGAAGCCTCGAAAAAAGAGCTATTTTGAATGCCATCCAAAAAGGTCAATGTCCCCAATAAAAAAAAAAAAAAAAAAAAAAGGAGCAGCTAGACTACTACAAACCTTGTAGTTAAAAGAATTGCTAAAAATGCTGGGTCTGCTGTCCACTGTACAGCAAGCCCTTTAGAATGGAGAAAATAAAAGCATAAATTACCACTGAAAATATTCTCCACATTTTCCTCAGGTGAAAAATATTCTCAGTTTTTTTTATATGACAATAATAATAATAAAAGATCTGTCACACAAACACGTTTCTTGAATGTGCATTTGCTATTACATACACTGTGCCTCCAAATCTGGATATTAAGAAGAAGAAATCCCTGACAAATTTAATTCCAGCTTAATCCCATCTAATCAATGACTGTAAAAACCTCTCTAAAATCTTTTATTATTTATCTGATGACAAATTTCGAAACTCTAACATGCCTCACAAAATCTCAATGTATGTGAATCAATTTGCTTATTTAAGCAAGTCAGATGGCTGAACTCTTTTTCAACCATAATAAATGTTTGCAAAATCAACCATCTAACTCGTCGCTGCTCATTGATTGCCACCACGCTAATACATTTATCTGATGTAATTATATTTTATTAAATTCAATAGATAGTTTGAACAGCATGTTGGGTGTTTTAAAAAGATTAGTATGGATTGTAAATGCAAAAACATTGTTTTCAGTGTGTGTAGGGGGACTCAAGCTCATTCTTTTTAAGCACATGATCAGTGCATCAAAAGTGATCAAACGTGAGACAGCGCGCCCTTTTGTGTCCACAGCAGATATGTGCACGCTGCACATGTGGCAGCACAGAAAGAGGGGGCGTGTCAGCCCCATTTTTCAACCAGACAAGTGAATACATCCATGTTTTTTTTTTTTGTTTGTTTTTATTTTTTTTTCCTGTAGCTTGTGCACATGTTAGCCAATGCACCTGACTTTGATTGAAGCAGCCTGTTAACCTTAATAGGTGCTTGGCCAGGGAGCCCCAGGCAAAGCGGAAAAAAACGTCACAGTTGGCAAAACACATCAAAGACAGAACATGAATAAAACTCTTATGTAAGTGCAAAAAGCATAAACTCACCGTCTTTGAGTCTAATTCATGGTGCTGTTGAGCTAAGACTTTATCTACACTGGCAGCATCTGTAAACGTAACAAACCCAAATCCTCTGCAAAACAGAAACACAGAGAAGTTTAGAATTTTTATACATACAAAATTCACACAAAAACTAACATTTTACATTTTTTGCCCAAAGTAAGTATTAAGAATTTTATATAAAGTTAAAACAATGTGAAAGACAAACATCCTAACATTCATGTGACCTTATTACTGTTACAATTTTTTTTTTCTTGTAAATATATCATAGCAGGAATTTAAAACAGGCACGGGGGGGGGGGGGGGCAGCGCTGAACATTATGTGGTGTGTTACACAGTGAGACGACTCCACCAACATTGCGGTGCAGTCACAAAGTCAATGTCAAATTGCAATCGGCCGCAGCTTTACAGCAGCGAGCATTTAAGCTTATCTGGCTCGCTGTGAAACCACACGCAGGCGCGCGCGCAGACAGGGACACTCAGTGACGCGCGCGCACGCACACACAAGCTGGATTAATACTAAACACGGTCAAAGTAAGCGATATCGTCATGTGCTGTGGGAAGGAAAAGTAGGGAAAAATCCCTGTATTTACCTTGAACGTTTTGTCGTGGGGTCTCTCATCACCATACATTCTCTTATTTCTCCGAATTTACTAAAATAGTCTCTAAGGCTGTCTGTGAACAGAGAGAATATGTCGGGTTATTTGACAGAAAACATATGGGAACGCTGTTGTCACTGCATTTCAAATAAAAAGGAAGGGAAGGGGGGAGGAAAGAACACCCCGCGATGCGCATAGGGGTCGAATAGAGGACTTCAGATGGACGGAGATCAAAAATAACATCGTGCGCACACACACCACTGAGATATCCCATACAGAACACTACTGCACAGACAGGGCACATTCGCACATACACCGCCAGCAGCTAACGAGCACTCAGTCACAGCGACAAAAAAAAAAAGAAAAAAAAAACAACAAGAAATATTGGACACGGCGACAAAAGAGAATAACAGTCTCACCTGGTGAGGTTTGCCAGCTGAGGCCACCGATAAACATTTTACTGTAAGGGGAAAACACAACAGAAGTGAGTCCAGATGTCAGTTCGGCCATTTTGACGACTAACTACTTCTAAAAGCGACCTTAAAGGATAAAGGGAGACTATGAAAGCACATTCGCGCTTAGTAATTACTCTCTATCTACATAAAAGGGGGAGGCCACTCTCGCTACAAAGCTGTGGTGTTTAAAACTGCATCTGGGAACGGACCCGTGCACGGGTTTAAGTGCGTACTGCGCGAGGACGAATCCAGCACGGCAGCCGAAGTCCTCTCCAAGATGTTGTAACATGAAAAAAAAAACGTACCTTAGGTTTAAATTTAGAAAAAGATTCTTACCCCGGGTCATGTTGTGAATCATTTAGGCTTCCGGACGTGGCTTGACTCCCGTCTCCTTCCATATCTATTCCAAACTATAGAGGCTGGGACTACAGTAACAGTGACAGACACACACAGATAGGGCAGGAGATATGCAAAGCCCCGCTATGAGAATATTACTGAGCCGGGAATGAAAGCGTCACACGTGGGATCAGCTCAGCCCCTGCTCCCTCCTCCCTCTCTCAGCACGCTCTACCTTGGCCCATAGGGGGCGGAGCTTGGCTCTGTCACCTAACCAATCCAATTGACGTCAATTCAGGCAATCTGCAAACCAATCCTCCGATTTGTCATTTAATTAAGCAATAAGCCACTAGAGGTACTACTGGCTTATTGCTCTTCTAAATCAGTGGACACAGACTGTAGCAAATATATTTTAATTGATATTGTTTACAAGTTACAATACAATTAAAAAAAAGACACAGGCATTTAGTCGTAATTTACATTTATATCTTATTCTTCTGCAATAAAGCTGTCTCATGGGAAGAATATATAATTTATGAGTTTCATATTTTCTCCTTCATATTTAATTCATCTTGATTGTTATGTTTTTGAATATATTCACAGTTTAATTCAGCTGAAAGCTTCATGATGTGTGAACCAAAGAGTACGGTGCAGCACCATAAGCGTCCATCTTGTTTAAAATTCAACAATAATTGGAAGAGTAACAACTGGAAAAAAAAGTTATTCATTATTTAATCTAATTAGAGCAGCAGCGTTTATTATCTGAGACACAGCTACAGTGAAGTGCAAACATATTCAAAACCATTTGAACTTTCATATGTTGCTAAAACTTTGGTTTGTAGTTTTATGTATTTAATATAAACTTTATGTGATAGAATAATATGAGTGCAAACAGATTTTTTTTTTTGATCAAGCCACAAATTCTCATTTTGGTTTAGGTATTTTTAGTGGGCTCTTCAAACTAATTAATATGCATTGTCCTTAATCATATCATTATAGCTCTGAGTATATTTTAAGACTATTGCTCTATGCAAGGTGAACTTCAATGGAACTAAATTAGCTCCATACAATTGAGTCCTGACGCAGCCTCGTGGGGTTCAATTCCCAACCTTTGGACCTGCATGTCTTTCCCTCTTCTTATTCCCTGGTCACTATATATGAAGTTCACTAGAGTCACAAAAAAATCTGTAAAAAAAAAAAATCCAGTCATCTCTCCATCAACTGATTTCATTCCCTGTCCTTGCTGAATAAAGGCATCCCAACAGCATGATAGTACCACCGTGTTTCATGGAGTTGATAGTGTTTTCAGGGTTGGGCTGCACGACATTCGAAAAAAAAAAGCACTGCGATTTTTCTTTTCTAATATTGCAATATTGTTATATGAGAAAATTTAGAACTTTTCAACAGAAGATTTAAATAGCAACTTAAGTCTATTAGTGTGCTGACGATTGACATGATGCCACCCGTCAATGATCCTAGGGGGTTTGTCAGTAACTGACCAATCGACCATAAACATTTCTGGGTTTCGTCACTGCTGATGAAGGAGGAAATTATGGTCCAACGTCGTCAGTGGGGAACATGCAAATGTGTGGTAACTGCTAGTAAATATCCCATTGTTTGTCATAAGGACACTTATTGATAGTCAAATCAAAGATCAATAGGTGAATGTAATCATACCTGATTTTATGTGTGTAAATTCTAATGGTACCTCTATGACAGCATGAAAACATGTGCTGCAGTAACTGTGGTATTTACATCTAAGCATTTTTTCTGAAGGCATGTTTTCACAAGCCACTGTTATTCAAGTCATTACTCACTCGTTTTGTATGTGCAAAAAATGCGTCCGACACATCTTTCACACTCACATCCAATGAGACTTATTCTGGCTGTGAAAGACATGGGCTTTACCACTGATTTGACCATTGTTTCCCGCAAATAACTTTACAGACCTGATGTAGGACTGTGCTTCAGTGTTGGCTGATAAAGCAAAAATGACTCAAAAAATGTATCGGGTAATGCATTGAGTTCCACTACGTCTGTCATTATAACACGGTTTGTTTGTCTGAGGTTTGCTTTACTTCTACCCAGCAGCGGAGCCATTGTAATGTCAGTTCAGGATTATGTGTAGTAACATTTGTGTGAGCATTCGTAACTTGGATGGAATGGGCTGGCAAAAAATGTTGCCCATTGACAACTGGAGATTGGCACCAGTTGTCAATAAACCTTTCACTGATTAAACACATGTAGGAGTTGAACGGAGAGAAGAACGCTCTGTAAGATGTTCACACCTCTGCATTGTTCATAAGTTAGCCCTGCTATCATCTTCTTGACACTTTATCCTTGTCACATTTAGTGTGTTTATCAGTCTTAACGACGCTGTTGTTTTATGTTCTCTACACAATAAAACTTTAGAAAACAATGCTTTAATTTTTTCTACCACCTTACTATTATTGGTGCACTGCTATTTAAATTTTACAAACTCGAAGGTTTGCTTGCAGCTAAATCATAGTTTTAAACATGATATAGCTATACCATCAGAGCTGAAATTGTAACAATACGCTCAGCTTGCTGAATTATTAAAAGATCTCCCACCCAAAGTGATGAAATGCAGCAAAGATTGAGCAGTGGTTTTAGGACAGATAAATTAAAGAAAGCTCTTTGAGGCACAAAATCAATGTTCAGCTCTGTTCACGTGTCCCTGAGCAAGATACTGAATCTCAGCCGCTGACCCAAAGGTCTCACCTTCAACTGCCTTATTCATCACAATAGCCAACAAAAAGAAATTTCCCATGGGGATCAATAAAGTCTGGTATCCGTACATACAGTAGTGTAATTATGGATCTTTTCATGTAGATGACCTATAATGAGCTGTCAGCCCTGCCCTCTGCACAGTGTACACCGAGATAAGCTGGCTCTGCCTTCTAATAACCTTGAGGAGGTACAAAAAAAAAGGAAAAGAAAAAAGCTTAGTAAAATATTAAGAATGAATGAGCAAACAGAGTATGGCGGAGAGGAAGAAATGTTTACGGTCTAAGACGCTATTTTAAAATGAGAAACAAAAATATCACATAAATGCAGTTCTCATTAATTCTAGTATAAGGAGTCTTCCAGTTTTCCATGTGAAATGTGACTCGTGATCCTGTTTTATTATTCACAGTTGGAGAAGCCTTTTGAATAGGCCTGTCTTCCCTGACTGTTGAGGGTTCCACCACAGGGAATTTCTTATCTGGCCAGGCAGCATGTTTTTGAAACAATGCTGAAGATAAAACCCAAATAACAACACTTTTGTCAGTTTAGCAGCTAAAAGTCTGTCATTAGTTCTGGGACTTTCCACACAGGAGTCGTCTGTAGCTCTGAAACAAAGGTGCGCAGCCAAATGGTAATTCCTCGCCGCATCGGAGTGTCATAGAAAATGGAAATATGACGCCGTGTGAGAAAGACTATTACACCCGTCTTTGCACCGTAGTTCTGTCCCATGCCATTTTGTGATGCATTTATGATTACATTACTGTTGTCAGATGGGAGGCAGGTTCTTTATATGTCTCCCCTAGAAAAAAATAAAAATAAAAAAATGCACGCTCTCATCCAGCTGCACAGACACAAAGAAGTGAGGGGGGCTATAAATTGATGTTGAACGCGAGCTCTAAGGAACAACAAGCTCTAAAGCCCATTGCGAGGTGTATGAAAATCACTGTGGATTTAACACATGAAGAGCAACCTCTGTTTTACGCTCAAAATAAAAAAGCACTGGAGGCTCTGCTTTCACGGTGGGATTGTGAATTATTCAGTTTTCTTATCATAGTTATTACTGCCGTACCATGACGGGAGTCGAGTTAAACATGTTTGGGAAGGTACTGTTGGTGTGACATTTTATCATATTTTACAAAGGGTTGCACATATGAAATCAAGACATGTTTGTGGCAAAGTAAACACGGCGCCCTCGCCCCTTTTCATGTCTCTTATGTTCCAGTCAAATAACTCAATATGTTTTTGTTGTATATTATGTGACACATGTATACAAATAAAAACATTGTAAGTGTGGTGAGGATTTGCACACAGCTCCACTCGAGCAACACTTTGTAGAACGACTTTCTGCTGGTGTTTTGGGGGTATGCCTCCACCGACTTTCCTCGTGTAGATGAAATGAAATGCCTGCTAAAGTTCAGTCAAATTTGAAGGAACATATATGAATAGCAAGTTTCTAACCTTACAACAAATTCCAGATTCTTACTCATTAATTTGGATCACTCTAACCAGTGCTATGTTCACTCTGGGAGCATGTTTAAAGTCCTAGCTCTTTCAATCCAAGGGTGTCCTACATTTAGCTCTATCCAACTTCCCATCACCTCTGACCAGCTTCCATGTCTTTGCTTAATGTATCTGCACAGCACAATACTGCCACCACCATGTTTTACAATAGGGGTGGTGTGCACATGGTGGTGTAGTGTTGGTTTCTCTGCAGGTCCTTCAGAGATATCATGGTGTGACTGCTTTACTAAAAAATATCTTCTTTCCCAGTCAATTAGTTTAGGTCCAGTTTAGGAGGGTCATGTCCTGGTTTTACAAAATTCATATTTTCAGATGATGGACTGAAGATCTTTTAGTGAGATCTCAAAATTTGGGGATATTGGTGTATAACCTATCTGTACTTCACGTTTCTCTGCATCTTTACCCCTGTCCTCTCTGCTGTGCTCCATGGTCTCTATGATGCCTTTACAGATCAAAGGTAGACTTTTGTAGCCGATTGGTTGTGCTAGATTGTATCAGAGTATAAAGGGCTCACCATAAATGCCCTCTATCCTTGTCAGATTTTATTTTGTAAAGAATAATTCGAAACCGTACAAAATTTCTCTTCCACTTAGCAATTCTGCTCTCCAATCAGCACTGCAATGTGTGGCTCTAATCTAATCCAAAGGGTATGAACGCTTTTCCAGGCCACTGTATGTGAGTTCATGATTTCAGTCTCTGGATCTGTGTACAAGACAGACTGGAAGAGAAATCTTTATAGATTTTTAAATAAAGCTGTGCTCCGCTTTAATCCGAGCTGCCCCCACAGCCGGATGAAAGTGCCTAAAATGTTTATTCCTCTTTAAGCAACTTCAGTCTGACAGCCATGCTGGTTGGGGCAGCTGAGCGTTTACTACTGAATAATAAAAAAAAGAATAGCAGACAGGCTTCTTTTGCTTCTTTATATAAAACTCTGTGCAAACCTTCCCCCCACCCCCCTTGAAA